GGCGCTTGCCATCATCACATTGAAGGCTTGGAGCTCCAATTCTCCGGCGGTTATGCGGGGTCCTTGGCCAGTTGCTGCAAGTTTTGAGTCACGTTTGGATAGGATCACGGCCAAAATTTCCTTGAACACTGAGATGTCCGCTGGCTGCGCGTCGGCTTTGCACTCACTCACTGCTGCTTGTAGTTCCAATTCCAGGTTGGCGTCTCCGCTCAAAAATGGATTGATAGCTTTCTCTTCAATGAGTGCTGTGCTCACCGCATGCTGCTGCTGCAGTTCCACAATGAACGAAGCCAGTAGCTGGGACATGGACATGGCCTCTTCCAGCGCTGACTTGTCCCACTTCTTCCGTAACTCTCTGATCTTTCGCTCATGACTGGCGTGGACATAGCGGACAAACAAGTTGAAGCCGTCCACTGTGTTGGTGAGCCTGGTTTGCCATTGGCGCGGCATTCCACGAGGAGTGTAACCCGTAGCCAATCGCTTATTTGCAAAAGCCTCGTTACTGAACGCGCCCTCTGCCCCAAATGTGGCGGTATGGTGCACGAGCAACTGCGTTGAATCAGCAGGCAGATCCAGTAGCAGTAGCAACGCTGTCCTTTTTGCGCCTTGCACAGAAGACTCCCGAGTTGCTGACTCGTTCCATCTCTTCAGCACCTGGCCCGGGGACAGTCCCTTAGCCTTGAGGATCAACAGCTTGCTTAGCCATGTAATCACATCCCCAAAGCATCCGCGATTGAAAAAATTCAATAGAACGATTGATTTTTTGACAAAATCAATCTTCGATTGAAGATTGATTTTTGGGAACCATTTTCAATAGAAATGTCTCTAAACAAAAACCTATTTCGATTGAAAAACAAAGACCAAAACGATTAAATTTTCAACAGAGGTTTTTCAAGGCTGGACAGCCTCCACTGTAGGTCTTTTATGGGCTGGACAGCCCCAAGTGTTTTCCAAATGGGCTGGACAGCCCCAAGTGTCCAAATGGGCTGGACAATGCATGCACTCAACATCTGCAGCTTGTCTCCTACAATGGCAGCCGTTCTTTTTTGGTGAGCAATGCTTTTCCAGTGGGCTGGACAGCCCTCTTCAAAGCAGGTGCCTGGGCTGGATAGCCCTTTTTTTCAGCAGTTATTTGCAATGGGCTGGACAGCCCTTTTTGGTGGCATTGGGCTGGACAGCCCTTCCTTGTTTAGTTTGGCTGGACAGCCATAGCAAGTATATGTTGTGTTGCAACTTTGTAGGGCCCAAGCAAGTTCTGGCTTAAGCAGCCATGGATGCCAAAGGGAAAGGAGCAGCTGCCCCTGCAAAGGGGCAGCAAAAAGGGAAGGCGCCAGATGTCTATGGGAAAGGTCCTGCAACTCATGACCAGAGAGGTGGTGGAGGGGCCTCTGTGTTCAGAGACAACTTGAGGTGCTTGTGGCAGGGCTACAACCCAGAGATGCCCTACAATGTGTTCATGCACAACCTTGTCTCTTATACCCAGTCGATGAGTGGGCTGAACCTGGGGCTACATGAGTCCCACAGGAAGTACCTGGAGAGGGTCAAGGAGAAGGTTGATGCAGGACTTTCTTTTTTTTCCAGGCTGGACAGCCTTCAACTGCAGGCTGGACAGCCTTCACCTTCAGGCTGGACAGCCTCTTCCTTTTTTTGACACAGCCTGATGTCTGCCCTGAGTCAAAAGCCCTAGTGTGTGTGTTCTGAGTTGAATGTCCTGATGTCTGTCCTGACTGTGGAGCTTTCTAAAAATGTTCTAGGCTGGGCAGCCTGACCTTGCAGGAGGGGACTGGCTCAACTACATGGAAGCCTTAGTGGAAAGGATGAATGAATCCCTCCTACAGCAAAGTCGGTCACAGCAGCAACAGCAGCATGAGATGATGCTGCAGCAAATGCAGCAGGTGTCTGGGTGGATGCAACCTAATGCAGCAATGCACCAGCAACCCTTCATCATAGCCCAGCCCCAATGGCATGATAATTGGGTACCAGGTGTGGCCAGCAAGGCTGCAGGACCACCACCAACCCTCCCACCTGAACCAGCCCAGCCTCCACCAGCTCAGCCTGAGCCACAACCATCTCCTGAGCCTCAACCAGCCCACACTGAGGGGCCTCCACAACCAGCCAAGGCTGACAAGCTTCCACAACCACCCCAGCCTGCACCAGCCCAAGCTGAGGAGCCTGGCAACCAGAAGGCTGAGGAGCCTCAACCAGCCCAGCCTCACCCACCAGCCCAGGATGAGAAGCCAGACCTGCCTGAGCAAAAAGCACCCTGGTGCAAAACCGCAGCTGATTGGGAGCAGATCACTGCTACATGGGCTGATAAGCCTTCTGGTTCAGGGGTGAATGAGGCAACCCAAGCAGAGCCTGCAGAGGCAGATGACTCTATGGGTGCTGAGCACTGGTGGGGCAATTGGTGGTGGCAAAAGGGCACCAGTGAGTGGACAGCAGAAGAGTGGAAGCAGGAAAAGGGAGAAACTCAAACTACAACAACTGAAAAACTCCCTGCTGAGACAGTAGACCCCCTTCTCATAGTAGTGATGCTGGTGGGCTTCTACTGGCCATAGAGATGGAAAAGACATTTGGCTACATTTTGCCCACCACAGTATTTTTCACACATGTGTATTTGTTTTCTGCTTTGGTACTAGGCTGGACAGCCTCTTATAGTGAACTGTGCCCAGGACTGACTTTTGGGATGAGCCTCATCCCTCCATCTGGTTTGGTCGCTGCAGAACATGTGGCTACAGCAGCTATGTGGCCAAAAGGAGCAAAGTGAGGGGCAGGCAGTGCTTTGGCTGCATGAGGCCCAGCTGCAACAGCTTCAGAGGGGCAGCAGCTGTAGAGTCACTGGAAGAGGCACTCGACTCCTATGACTCTGAGGTATTGGAATTCTAGGCTGGGTAGCCTCAATTAGGCTGGACAGCCTTGTATCCTAGCCATAGGGAGGCCCTGTGTTGAACAGAAAGTGTTTGTGTGATTTGTGGGCCCCCCTATACTTTGGGCATCCATGCTCTGGGCCTTTTTGGTATGTCAACTCTAGCCCAATGTTATCTCTAACATCCCAAGTCCAATGCCATGAGTTCTTGTCAAAGCCCTGGCTGGACAGCCCCCTGCTCAATAAGTGAAGCAGCTTCAACACAGAAGCTTGGCAGAAAAAAGAATCTTCGCAGCTTGGTGTGGTGGGCTGTGGGCTGGACAGCCCACATGGGTGGGCTGGACAGCCCAAGTGGGTGGGCTGAACAGCCCAAAGGTTCCTAAAATGGGCTGGACAGCCCCCAAAAGGGTGGGCTGGACAGCCCAAGAGGGTGGGCTGGACAGCCCAAAAAGGCAGAAGGTAATAAAAGGTAATATGAAGTAATAAACAGTAAAGAAAAGTAATAAAAGGTAATAAAAGGTAATAAAAGTAATAAAGGGTAATAGACAGTAATAAACAGTAATAGAAGTAATAAACAGTAAAGAAAGGTAATATGAAGTAATGAATTGTGAGTACCAGTTTTCGACCAGGTTCAAGACTAGGGCACCCCATACTGAATAGCCAGCTGTCACCATGGGCATGAAGAGGCCTGCAGCAGCTGCTGCAGCCAGTGTCAGCAAGAAACCAGCCACAGCTGACACAAAGAAAAAAAGGACTAGCCAGCCGAAGAAGTGGAAGGCACTGAGGGTGACCTCACAGAGGCACAAGTCAAGAGGCATGACCAAATTGAAAGCCTGATGGCTGAGCTGAAGGGACTTGATGAAGACAAAATGAAAAACAAGCTTGGTGGGCTAGACAACCTCACCATGATGTCTCTGTGGAAGAGGTTCAAGGTGAACAGAGAAATGGAAGGTGAAGACCAGAAGTGTGCCCAGAGCACAAGTGGGCCTGGCAGCAATGCCAAGAAGCAAATGCTGCTCAGGGCCTGGTTGAAAGATGGTGGCCAGCTGCAAAAACACTACAGGCAGGCAGTGACTGCCTTTGAGCTGAAAAATGTGTCCAAGGAAGGGTACAAGTGGAGGTCTTGGGAGAAGACTTGTGATGACCTGGGTAAAGAGCAAGCCCTGGGCATGCTGAAAAGGGGCACCCTCAAATGGAGAAAATGTCCACAGGACACAAAGTACATGGAGTTTGCTGTGCATGCTGAGGAATACAGGCAGGAAGCTACCAAGATCAGGAACACTCGGCTAAAGGCTTCCTCCAGCAAGGCCACCAAAGAGGACACCCTGGCAGACTATGAGAACCTTACTTTGGATGACATCAAGGCTGAAGGCAACTGGGGGATGGAAGTGGTGGGAGAAGAGGATGATGTTGCATCCATGGATCTGGACCCAGACCTCAAGAAATTCTTTGGCTCCAACAAAAACAAGGGCCACAAAGATCCAGAAGACAACCCAAAGAATGAGAAAAAAAACACATGGGAGCTGACAAGCCAGGTGTCCTCTGCCACCACAAAGCAGGAACTGTCCAAGAAGCTTTTGGCTTTCAAAGCAGAGCTTTGCAAAGAGCAAAGCTTCTTCCAAGCAGCCATGGTTGATGCTGATGACAAGAAAAGCCAAGACTACAAGCAGGCTGTGGCCATGGTGAAGCTGGCAGGGGATGCCATCAAGCAAGTGGAGCAAGCCCTGACTGCTGGATCCAAAAAGGAAGCAGCCAAGAATGCTTTGGTGGCATCCTTGAAGGCTGTGCAAGCCTGCAAGAAGAACCATCCCAAAAAGAAGGCCAAGAAGGAGTCTGAGGCAGGCTCTGATAAGGATTAAGCACCAGCCTAGGCTAGGCACCAATGTGCTGGGAGAGCACATGGATTTTGCACTCAGCTGGACAGCTGCCCAGGAATGAAAATGATTGCAAAGGCTGGACAGCCTTTTTGCTGAGAACTTTTTTGAGTATGTAGCTGGACACAGGCTGGACAGCCTTTCTTGTGGTGATGGGTTGGCAGTTCTGCAGGGTGGGCTGGACAGCCCTGTAGCCTTATGTTGTTGTAGGCAAAAGGTTGCAGCATCAGGTGGCACAATAGCCTCAAGCTAGGAATATGTCAGAGCCCTGCCCCTTGTGGGTTCTTCTGGTGCAGAAATTTGCACTGGGCACAATAAGTGCCATTGAACTCCAACATTTGGCTGATGCTGCTGTGAAGAGTGGTGCAAGCACACCAGAGATGCTTCAGCTTCAGGGCCTTGGCGCCATGGGCCAGCAGTCAGGGAATGTTCACAGAGATTTGCTCAGGAAATGCTTCACCCATCTGCAAGCACCTGCCCCATATAAGCTCACATGCCAGATGGCCATGAAAGTGGATGGTGAGAAGTGCCTCACAGAATGTGATTGTTTTGTTCTTTTGCCCCACCAATGGGTGGAATCGCTGCAGCAGGGGGAATTGTTGGTCAATCTGACATGCACTGACAATGACCTCATCCTTTTCTGGGAGAGCCAGAAAAAGAACCTAGGACAAATTCCACAATCTTTCTATTTTGTTTGCTGGCAGCCTTGATGATTTCTTGGCTGCACAGACCTTTAACCAAGGAACCCTCAGATGACACAACAGCTCTGGAGATCATTGGACTTTGATCGACCAGAAAGTCTCCCCATTCCATGGTGTTTGCATGGTGATGGAGCACCCTTCACAGAGACTGATTCCATAGAAGTCATTTCCTTTAGATGCCTTTTGACATCAATGCCTGTGGGAGACAGCCAGCTCCTTCTAGCTGCAATACCAAAAGCAGCAGTCAGCAAGGAAACATTCAACACCATCATGGAATGCATGACTTATAACTATTTGTTATGTGGGCTGGACAGCCCTAGTTTTGAGCTTGTGGGCTGGACAGCCCATGAAGGCTGGACAGCCTTAACTTGTTTCCATAAGTACAAGCTTGTGGGGTGGACAGCCCTAGAGTTGCACTTGTGGGCTTGACAGCCCCAGAGAAGACCTCATGCATGCCCAAAAATGACACAAACAAGTAGAAAACCAGGACAAAAACGATTGAATTTTAAAACCAGTTTCGATTGAATTTCAAAAGCATAAATTCGATTGAAAAAACAAAAATTCGATTGAATTTTGCACAAATTCAATCTTCGATTGAAAAAATCAATAGCGATTGAATTTTTTCAATCTCGGATGCTTTGGGTCATGTTGGCGGCGAATGTCTCCACGAGCACTGAGAGCCGCGTTCTCTAGCGCGATGGATGTAGCGTCCGTCGCGCATGTGGTTTCAGTGCAGTGGATGACCAGCAAGCTTTGAAACAGGCGCGGTGCCATGGATGCGACATCTACCTTCAGTTTACACAGCACATGCGCCAGCATCAGCACGCTGGTGGCACGAGCTGCGCCCTTAACATAATGAGAGAAAAAAATCGGAAAGCCCGACCAGCTTTCCAGGCGGCCAGGGTAGCTGTCTGACTGGTACAGAATCAATGGGTCGGAAGCGGTCAGAAATCCATGTGTGAGAAACTCGTCCAGAAGCTTGCGAGCCACTGGTTTGAATGTGGGCGGCTTTGATGAACAGTCACTGTGCCAACCCAGCTGCCATAAGCTCAGCTTGATGGCGCCGGGGGAATCGCTGCCAGCTGGGAACTTCAATTGGTCAAGGTATCGCAAGTCTGCTAGACGTGGGAAAAGCCCTTCCAAATCTGCAGCAAAGGCCGTCCAGTCAGCGTTGGGCTCTGAACCGAGCTCTGACTGCAAGTACTGGCAGGGACCTCCATGGTGGTCCAAAAGGGCGTCACACACTTGAAGTAAGATCTCTCTGAAATTCTCCGGCTGAACTTTTTCTGGCACTTTCTCCAACAGTTGGTTCAGGGGCGCTACCGATGAGTCAGTAGTAGCTCCGTTTGCTGTGGCTGGCGCTGGCTCCTTTGGAATGACCTCCGTGGCTGTGGGCTCTTGCTTCACAGAGCCCACGGCGGCGCCAGTCCCCATGTCAACATCACTGTCTCCTTCTTCACGCTTTGTGGCCATCGGACTTCAAAATGGACCGAGTGCGCGGAAGATTTATGATATACCAGTGATCCGGAAGTTGGAAGTGGTGTGTGAGTACTGGGCCTATAATATCCGACAACAATATAATTATATATTTTTAAAGGGCTATATGTACATGTCACATAATAAGCCAACAGCTGAAAGGAGATCATCGTGGCTCTTTTATGCTGAAAAATGACATGGCTGCAGAGAAAAAGAAACACGATCTGTGTGGCATGTGGAGGACAGCGCTAACTAATATGAAAAGAAGTGTCAGTCAGTCGCGATCATGATGAGGTGTTTTAGACCTGGCCTAAAATAGAACAAAGTTATATTTTCTCAAGCATTCATACCCCCTGCTCATGTAAGCTTGTATGCAACGACGCTGACATTGGGTTCCTAATAGATCATGTGAATTGGTCCGGCTCTTAGTAGATCTATTGTGGAAATGCAGAAAATCTTTCAAGCCAATCCCGGAACGTTGAACCTGAAACAGTGTAAGGGTGTAACCCCAATTCAATTCTGAGGGGGACAAGAATGAAACCCCCCAATTTAAAACACCAAAAATCACGACTAACGAGGGGTGCGCACCTCAGACCCCCCCAGATCGTCAAGTTTCAAACGTTTCTTGACCATCTGAGTATGAAAGAGCAGGAACTTGACTAACGGGGGGGGCGGGAATCCTGCACCCCTACATCGTCAAGTTTAGATAACTCACAGAAGGGATCGTCAAGTTTCAGACGTTTCTTGACCAACGGGGGGGTCTCCAGATTTGCCCCCCCAGATCGTCAAGTTTGACCAGATCTTGTTTTTTTTCCAAACTCTTCTCGTCGCCAGTCGGACCGCCTGAGCGGGGCGATGGGTGAGCAGCGGTCCACCGCTGCTCACCGTCGCTCCCACTCTAGGCGCACTGCCTTCTGAAGCTTGTCGACGAACTCGTGGGTATAGATTTGGCACCACTTCGACAGCTGAATACCACCTTCAGAACCCTCAATAGTAGCATGCGGCTCCGTACACGCGCATTGAAGAGGTTCAAACAATGAGACAATGGCTGTTGAGTTGGTCAACAGCGTTGTCCGCTTCTGGAGTGGCTTTTCAGAAACTGGTGTTTTTAAATTCACTCGACATTGGTCAAATGTGACCTTCATGACCCCCTCCTGATCGGCGATATCCTGCACGCTCTGGCGCTTCCAAGAAGTAGCTTTTTGCGGATGCTCGTGTGCAAAAAAGCGCTTCTGAGCGATTTGTCGCCTGGCGATCAGCATGGAGTAGTCGAGCAGGCAATTTGCTTCTGCAAAGCGACGTTTTTTTGTGGCGGTGTCCATCTTGCCGAGGTTGGCATTTTGCATCACACTGAACATGGTGCAAGGTGCACTCAGCATTGTGAAGAAGGGGCGGTGCTGCGTCAGTAGCTTCAATGCGCGGGCGCGACCATCTGCAGTGAGAAAGTCGTAGCCCGTGACAATGTCGAAGCTATGCAGCGCCCAATAACCTTCTCGGCGTAAAGGTATGGCGACTCGTGGTGGTGAAAAAAATTCCATAAACAGATGCTGTTCCTGGTCTTCGTCGTCGTCCAAGACAATGATGTCCATGTTGTTGTTTGGACACCTGACCAGGAGGGATGATCAAGAAATAGCTTAATATTGAAAACACAAACAAGAATAAATGAACGTTCAAATTAATAGGAACCACAACTAATGAGTTGGGGGCCTTGGTCTCTTAGCCATTGGCTGCCTGGGGCTATCTAAAACTACGATTGCTTCCCGGTCGCTCATGACTGACCGACTACACACTAACTACCACCCAGTCTCAGCGTTGAAGGCTGTGGCGGCTGCAGACATAATTGTTTTAACCCAAATCGATCGACCCAAAAAATACCCGCTGCTGGCCGCGCGCGGATGCTGTTTCATTTTGGACCAACGCTCGGCTCACATCGGGTCACTCATTCTGCCATACCCAACGTGTTTGTTCGTCATTCAATATTAAACCACCTTTGGCCCGACACTCCTTGCAACCCACTGAGCTTTGCCGGCACCGACCGCACCCGATGTAGTCTTTCGCGTCGGGCGGCATGGGCAGGCGTCCCAATTGTCGTTGTTTGTCTCTTTTCCCGGCCGCCGCTGCTGCTGCTGGTCTCTTTAATCCTCGCGCACCGGCAAGCGCTGGCTCCGCATTGCCAGTAGCTTGAGGGCTTGCCTTGGCTTTGGCCTTTGCCTTGCCCTTTGCCTTTTTGGCCAGATCTGGTGGCAGTGTGGCCACAGAATTTGGCGCGCCGCCCCGACCAAAGGAAGATGCGGGCGCGCCTAACTGAGGGTTCTCACGCGCCACTTCTGTGTGATCTCGCTCAAGTCGTGTGCCTTCAGGCGGCGGGAGAATATCATCTGCACCCGCGGCCGCGGCTTGGCCTTTGACATTGAGACGCTTCAGATGCGCGGGCGGCCTTGAAACGGTGACTGGAGCTGGTGCTCGGTGATTCCATTTAAAGGTCTCATCGGTTAATTTGGGCACTGGTTCGTCCAGCGTGAAGTCCACGTCTGCTCGGGTTCCAGACAAAAACCATGGCATGCACAGTGGAATCCAGTTGTCTGATTGTTGACTTTGGTTTTCCTCCATCAGCTGCAGCAAAAAAGCGCAGCCCTCGTCCATGTTCCACGGGTCTTGGCTGATTACCTCTGCGGTCTTCTGGAATTCTTTGATTTGACGGTCAGACAAAGCCACTCTTGGGGCCATACACAAATTTGAGGAGGATGGCATCTTAGCAAAATCGTCCTCATATGCAAAAACGAAAGGTGGCTGGCTGGGTGCCTCGTTGCAGATATACTGCCTGCATGTGAGAATGACATCGCCAGGTTGTGGGCCCCCTGGCGAGCCATTGACCTCTTCGATTTCACCTTTAAATTCAGAGCGTCGTTCAAAGCAAAAGACATGGACGGCCTCTTCGTTCCTGAGGGTTTGCCAACGAGTTTGAACATGACCTGAGGTCTTCACTTCCAGCTGCTGGAAGAAATTCTTGAAGTTCGGCGCAGCGCGGAGCCTCTCGACCCCAAGGTGTCGTGATTCCCGTGGCTGCACCCCTTCCCTGATGGCATCCATAAATGCGTCAGGGCTTTCGAGCACGCAGCACTGGCTCAGGCAAAATCTCAATTCAGAAAATCGCTGGTCAATCTTTGAATGTGTATGTCCGACCCTAAACTGGGTTAGGACCACACTCTCGAACAGGCGGCGGTGGCACAGCCACGCCGCCAAGCATAGTATCGTTTGGTTCTTTCCTTCCGCAGCAGCGTTGTCGCTGTGCAGTCTCAGATGGCGGGGAAATGGTTTTCCCCGCGTCTGAAAGCTCTGCTTTGCTTTTTCCAATGAGTGGCCGATGATGCTGGCATGCACATCGGCGCTCTTGGATATGTCAGGGTCACACAAATAATATGTTTCGCGCAACCCCTCGATGATTGCCCCGATGCATGAAGCCTCTGGCCGCCAGAGGTTCTGAAACTCTTTTGCGGCGGAGACATTTCGGGGGCACCGGAATTTCGCTCCGTCCATTGCGTCTATAACTATAGATAGCAATGACTCCTCTGGTTTGACGCTTCCGGCCAAAGTTCCTGCAGTGATTCGAGCTTTTGCGCACAAACGCTCGTCTACCTGCCGGTCTTTCATCACATCTGACAGGTGGCTGGAATACTCTGCTGCAATGCGGTCACCGTCTTTTTTGGAAGCAATTCTGCGTCTGTATTCCTTGAACTTCTCGCAAGCTGTGCACTTACTGTGTTGCCCGACCGTGCGGACTTTCAGTTTCTTCTCCCAAGACATGTGGTAGCACTTCACGAATGTGGAGTACGCCACTTTCTGGTCTGGTAGAAAGGCGATTCCAAGATCTAACATTTCAGACAGAGTGGTGCCTGGTGGCATCCATCGAACACCCTCCTCATCCAACTCATCTATGAATCCTATTTTTTCTGTGTCCGCTGGTGGCTTGCTTAGGGCCGCGGGCTTGCTAGAATGAACCGTGTCCCCTGCAACTCGGACACTTTCTGCCAGATCCTCAGCGACTTGGCCATGCAGCCATTCCAAAATGGAAGAAGCCTTGGCCCAAGCTCCGCGTTCGTTCCGCTGTTGCTGTGTTTCGGTCAGAACCCGCGGTGGCATGTCATGGCCCTGCGCTATGTCACTATTGAATTGTTTTAAAAAGTATGGAGTCGTTTTCAAAAGTTTCTGCACGGCCGCGGCACAAAGGGTCATGCCCCAGACTCGGTACCTCCGCCAGGACGTCTGTGCCCCAATCCCCCATTCCTTCAACCGCTTGAACTGCAAGGTCTTACGCTGGTCCTTGGTGCAGGCATCTAAAGCTTGTTGGAGTTCTGTGACACGACGGGCAAGCCCGGGAGAGTCTTGCAGTGTTTGCCAACAATTTTCCTTGCAGCAGCTATTGGGGTCCACATGTCGGTCCGAAGCGCTGTGTGCCAGTGGCTCCGGACAAACATCGGGCGGCAACTCGTCTTCTGAAATCACATCTGATGGCAACTTGTCCGAATCACTGTCAATGTCCATCGCATGTCCCGGAGGTTGCGGTAGAAACTTGTAGAATGCAAACAATGATAATGAATGAACACAAAGCATGACCAATCATACATGCTGTGTGAATGTTCGGACTTGAGTTCTTGACCCTTGGTTCCAGAAATGGCTGCCATCCAAAAATTTACACCGTACAAACACCCTAGATATCACAGACCCCATGTCCACTACCGCAAAAAGCGCCCATTAAACCTGGATCAGATACTTGCTTGTTATTTGCTTTAGGGGTAATGTATTATATATTTCACCGTGCCTGCCCCCAATCCCAGGCCCCTGCCCCCTGACTGGCCACACTGCTTTTTTGCCACTGCTGCAGAAAGCGACCGGTCTTCGTCTAAAAATAATAACTGCGCGGCAGCGCCTGCTGTGCAGGTAGCTGCCGCACTTGGATTCAACTTGCTATGCTGCAGCGCCTGCAGATCTGGTAGCTGCAGACCCACCCCAATGCTTTTCACCGGTCCCGGTCACCGGGACCGGCAATGCCACGAATGCTGTTCCCTGGCCCAGTCATTGTCAGCCACGGCCTTGCCGCAGTGAGGGCAATTTGGGCGCATGTAATGATGGCCCTGAGCAATGGCTTGGCACTTTGTGCTGTTTTTCTGGTGCGCTGCCAATGCCGCCTGGACTGCTTTCTCCCCACCCCTCGCCTTCAAAATTGCCCCGCAAACTGGACACTGATTCGGTGGAGCGCTCCAAGCTTGATTATTGGAGTAGCTCCACCCAGTGCTAGGCGCGCTTCGAGGTGGTGAATCTGGGCTTCGAGGTCGGCGCTCACCTCTGGGCCTGGGAGGGGGCGGATCTGGAGGCCGCCCAACTTTGATATGCAGCTCGGCTGACCTAGACCGCAAATTCAGATCCACCGCTGCGTGGCGGGCAGGCGATGCAGTAGGTGAATCGTCACTCTGTGGGCGGCGCCTTCGGGCTAGTGGCGGTCTGCTTTCTGATGAAGCTGCTTCTTCCGGTCGACGACGGCGGCGTCCACGTGACTTGTTGGAGCCCTGGCTGGCTTCTTCGTGGTCTTTGGCTTCTTGGCTTTTCTTTTTCTTTTTTTCCTTTTTTTGCTTTTTCGATGGCTGAGTATCTACGGGCAGCGCCGTGAACGGTGACGGTGGCTGGCCTTCGGGCTGGCCATCGTCAACTCCCCCGTCTTCATCTTCCTTTAACATTGGGCGGAGGTATCGTGGAGCCACTGTGACGGCGTCGTTGGGTGGCATGGCATGGCAAGGTCCGGCTAGATCGCTTTATTAATGAAATGGTGTTGTGGTTGTTGGTATGATAATGTCTACCTTTAACGTTTTTTCGTGTGGTCTGCTAAAGAAAAAAGTGTCCACTGTCCATGTGTGTTTGAAAGTGTCAATGTAAAGTTAACCTGTCTATGTGACTTAGAAATGGCCGCGGAAAGCAAACTTAACTACATCTCAAGCAAACCACGCAGACACTACAGTCAGTCAGTGGTTGAAACTCGCTGCGAGGAGGCGGTGGTCTTTTTTCTTTCCAGACTGTGGTCAGCGCTGATCGTTTTCCCAGTAGCTGGAACTGTGGCGGTCGCCCCAGCGCTGGTTGCTATCATGCGAGTAAGTGGAACTGTCCCAATCATCGTTTCTACTCCACTCATCATTTCGATTCCAGTAATTGGAGCTGTCCCAATCATTGTCGGCGCCCCATTGCTGATTTTGATTCCGGTTCCAGCGCTGGTCTTGCCAGTAGCTGGACCGGTCCTCCCACCCGCGATTGGTCCACTCGTCGTCATGTTCTTCCCACTCACGATAATCTACCCAGCCTGGCCATCGACCACGTTCGCGATGGTCGTTGTTATTGTGGTCTTGGTCCCTCCAGCGCTGCTCAGTGGTGGCAGGAGCTGCAGCAGACCTATTGTTTAGGGCAGTGCAAAAACGCTCATGCTGTGCAAGAGCCCAAGAGTCGTCATGTGCCACAGTCCGGCCGCAGCCATGTGGACAGTTGACACGGCCAGAAAATGGCCCCCCAAGACCTTGCCTTTGTCGGCACCGGCTAGATGATGCCTGGTGAGCTATAAGCGCGGAGCGGCCACCTCTCAATTGCTGACCGCATATCAGGCAGGTCAACCAAGGAGTTCCAAACATCATTGGGGGCAGCGGCAGCAACTGCGCTGGCAGGGTGCCAGTAGCGGCAGCTGCTTGGTCTGCAGGATCTTGATTTCCTGCAGTCTCAGTTCCTAGCTGTAGCTGCGCTGGCGGGGCGCCAGTAGCAGCAGGTGCAATTGCCGCTGCATCAGCCGGGGCGGTTGTATTTGAACTTTCCACCGGCGCTGCTGCAGCAGTAGCCGGTGGGTTCTCTGAAACAGCTGGCGCTGCCGGCGCTGCTGCAGCAGTAGCCGGTGGGTTCTCTGAAACAGCTGGCACTGCCGGCGCTGCTGCAGCAGTAGCCTTTATGTTAGACTTGCCGCTTGCTTTGCCGCTTGCTTTTGGTGGCATGGCGGCGACCTTGGCCCAAGAGGTCGTCATTCTAGTGCGGTAGTTTTAAGGTTTCAGTATCTGTGCTGGTTTGTCTTCGTTTTCGGTGTTTTTGGACTGCTTCTGTGCTTGTTTGTCTTCGTTTTCGGTGTTTTTGGACTGCTTACTTGGTTCGATGGTTTGAGCTGCCGCAGTGAACGGCCGCTGTGGTGGCACATGTTGCAAATGGCAGCGGGAGGATAAAGCGCATGAAACACAAAAGAAAAAGTTAAAACCAAAAAAAAGAAGTAAAAATGAAAAAAACATGCCTTGAGCAGCCATCGGCTGCTGACTCGCCATCCTTGCCCAGCAGCAACCCAGCCACACCAACCTCACCCAACTTTTCCACTTGCACCGAGCACTCTCCGTGCTCATTCACCACACCCAATACATCGACCGTGCCGAGGCCATCTTTGCCACTGGCCTTATCCATATCACACTCCTTTTCGCATATCCTTCCAACACCCGTCGCTCACAACAATGGCGCAACCGTCTCCGCCAGCTTCACATCTTGCCCCACACATACCACTACCACAACTTCCTCTCCTCAAATTCCGTTTACATCAAGCTCCACTTCAATCCTGACCAGCCCCAACGCTGCTACCATCAACATGGCCACTTCTATGTTGGCTCCACAGCCATTGGCATTCCCCACCGCGAACACAATCGCCGTGCCAAACTCAAGCAACTCCAGAACAACATCCCCATTTCTGCCGAACTCTCCTTACGTTATTGGCACTCACACAACAACATCCATCACTACACTACCATTCAACTTACCTCCCATGACACATACGACCAAGCCTGGATCCAAGAGCACCACTACATCGCAAACTGGATGCCTACGCTCAACTGGCCGTTTATTTCCCACCACCTCAAGCTCAAAGCTCAAGGCTGGCAGTTCACCAAACACAGAGCCCATTTCTACTCCAGATTAGCCACCACACCTTTACACCTCCACCAAGCATCACGCCCTCCAACTTCTCCGCAACCTTACCAAACACACAGCAGCCTCCTTTGAAGCTGCCAAAGAGCTACGAAGCGGCCGCCACACGGACCTTGAAGTCTATGCAATCCGGCGCATGGCCGCAAACCTTGAAGAACCCGGCCGCAGCAGAGCTCTCCACATCCTCAACAAAGCCCTGATCTACCGCAACCTCACACCGCCAAAACCAAATATTCCATTGACAGTGCCATTCCTGGCCCACGACGATTTCACCAAGCACTGCCAGCAGTGGCTTCGTACTACCAACCCTACGTTCCCACCTGCATAACCACCGCACATGGGAGGACACCCTCCACTTCCCGCCAGATCCAGCAGACCTCCCCTGCGCATGCGATCATCTTCGCACCCTCCTGCAAGATCCCGATACCCCCACCATCAACGGCCACTACATTCTTACACTTGACCAACTCCAACTCCCTACCCATCTCGGCATTTTTCTCAACGCCAATATGAACAGCACCTACTACCCAAGCAAGGCTCGATACTTTTTCATGTTCCAGACGGCCTACACGAAATGGCTCAAACTACAAGGGCTTCCGCCATCCCTCGTTCAACATTTGCAACCATTCCTTGAGCACCAATGGCGCCTCCACAACATACACCTCAAGCGGCACCCCCGTTTCACGGCTCGCCTGCTTCGCCAACTCCAAGAACACCTCGGCCAACACACATTACTTCACCATGCAGACCATGAACTACAACAACTCCGGCTGTTCTGCCCTCGCCAATATTTCACTGGCGCCTTGAATACATGGCAATCCCCCGAACTCTTCGAACCACTTCCCTTCATCACAGCCACCAATATCCACGCTCACCTGGCAGCCACTGTTCCTCCCATTCTGCGCACTCGCTACAAGTGGGGCTTCCGCAAAGACTTCAACATTCCTTACGGCGTTGTCCACCTCAAGGAGGAGAAGCGCTGGCAAAAAGGCCGTACAATCATCTCATACTTCCAATCACTCAGTGGCAACCTACTTCGCATTACCAGCCGTGCCCTTGACATCATCCTCCAACACCTTTACCCTCAGCATCCCGGCCAAATGTCCATTCCCCAGCTTTGGCACCATTTTCACAGCTACCTCACCCAAACCCCACCAGACATCTCACTACACGCCACCAACGATGACTTGGTCGGCTTCTTCAACTCAGTTCCACAGCACAGACTTATCGATGCGGTTCACTCTCTCGTCCACCACTGGCAACAACAGCAATCCACACACACCCTCACGGTGGATGTCCAGGCCACCGGCAACCCGTTCCACCACTCACACATTGGCAGACATCATCGAAAACACCCTACCCAACGCACCATCCAGACTTCAGACATCACCACCATCGTGGCTTTTGCCCTCAACACATGCATTTTCCGGGCTTGCAACAATACGTATAAACAAATCCGAGGGGCCGGGATTGGATCCCAGCTCTCTCCAGCCCTATGCAATGTCGCCATCACCCTCATTGAGCATTCCTGGCACCAGATCCACAACAACCTACTTCAA